GAAAACGCAGGAGAGCGGTCCAAAGGGGAAAACAAACTGACCACCCCCTCTCGCCGCGCTCCCGTTTCCCACACGGACTTGACCTTTTAACACGCCCTCTGCCCGCGCCCATTGGTTGCAGCCTTCGTGCGTCATCGCGGCGCGCCGAGCTGTGATACCTTCCCGCTCCCTGATCCTGACGTCACTGCGGCGCCAGCCTCGGCGGCGGAGAGAGCGGGAGCTTGTGGCGTCGGCGGGAAGATGTAAGTTGGCGGAATCCGACCCCATCCGTGTTTCGCGGGCGGCCTGCTAGGCCCAGCGGGCCGCATCGTGAACCCAGGCCCCTTCTCAGCCCCCGATGGTGGCCGCAGCCTGCGGCGTGGGTTCTGGAGAGTGTGGGCCGGGGCGAGCGCAGTGGGAGGTGCCGGGGCCGCGGCCCGGAAGTGGTCGTGGCCGCCGCGGACTGAAGGACCACGGCTGACGGAAGGGCTGCGGGCCTCCAACCAGAGCACAGCCGCCACTCGCGGGCACTGTCCTGGGAGAGCTTTCAGCCCAGGCCCGACGGGGGTTGTGAGTGGATGGTGTCGGGGCGGCGAGGCCGGGGCGGGGGCCTGAAGGAGTGGAGCGGCTTTGTGGGCGGTCCGGGAAGGGCCGGAGGAGCCTCCCTCGGGGCCATTTATCCACAGTCCTCGGGGTGGGGGTGGGGGCTGCCCCGGCGGAGAGGCTTGGGACGCACCTTTAACGTGTCTAGCATGAGTTGTGCCTAAAATGAAAAATACGGGAAAAGATGTTCTGAAGATAGCCCCTGCAACGTTTCTCCCCCTACTGAACTAATTGTTGTCTCCTCTCTCTGGCTGTTGGACACACCTTTCGGAGGATGAGGAAGGTGACTGCGGTCCCGGCCTGTCCACCTGAGCTTGTGTGAACAGAGAATCTCCACCTTTGCTCTTTAGCGCTCGGCCACACCCGGCAAAGCCTTCGGAGGGCTCCCCCTGGTTCTTGGTTCTTAGGAGAGCTGAAGAATAACGGGGCGCAGGGTTGGTGTGTATAACTGGTCTGAATTGGAATGTTTTAAGGACAAAGGCAGATTTCGTATGAAAGAACTTACTATACTTTGTGCAGATGAATGCTTGAAGAGGTACTGCAGTGTTGTACCTCTTTGGGGTAACTGCAGTACCAAACAGTATGCCTCTCACCTGTTCCTTTGTCACTCCTGGAAAGGTGGTTTCTCGAGGTGTTTGCATCCTACGTGGGCCATTATCGTTTCTTCCACTCAGCCCCATGTGTTGGGCCCTTGATGTGATTGATCATTGAGCAGAAAGGATGTGAGGTTTGGGGAGCAAGATTGTGACCAGGAAGTGGCCTCCTTTTTTCCTTAGAATAGCGCATATTTATTGAGGAGCCATGGTTGAGCACTGGGCTCAGCTTGGCAGATTGGGCCCACCAGCCACTCCGAAGGAGAAGTGACCAGAGAGCTGTCCCTGTAAGATGACAGCCTAAAACACCCTGGGCGGGGGAGGGGGGGAGTGCTCTTCAGTTCTTAGATGGTCTCCGAGCATTGAATTCAGTCCATAATTACTGAGCTTGAACTACTTAGCCATGGGATACTTCCCTTGGGGCCTGTAGGGTTCTCTGAGCTGGGTGCTGTGATTGTCAAATGAGATATCTCAGAACTGAGGAGTGACTTGCCTAAGATCATAACAAAGCCCAGAGGGCTGACTCCCACAGCACTAACACCCCCCGCCCGCCCCCCCCATGCATTGAGCCGGTGCTGCTTTGCAGTCCTCTCCATTGACTCCAAATCCCAGCACTTCCCTGGGCTGGAGTCCTTGTGCTCACAGCTTCCCCAAGAGGGCACTCAGGGGTCCATATTGTTTAGCAGAGGTGGGACTGGCCTTCTGACATCTCTGCTTCACATCTCCACTGAGGCTGCGACAACTGGGAAGGGGCCTTTGACCTGCTCATCAGCAGGGGTTTTCTGAGTGTCGTTTGTAGTGGCTGTGATTGGTGCCAGCACTGCTGTTTTAACCTCCCCGACCATTTCAGAATGTTTCCAGCATACAGGTACACCAAGTTAGTTGCACACTGGATGCCCACATCAGCACCCCTAGGAGGTACAGCTAAGATTGTTCTGGCTGTATGCATTTCAAAGTAAACTGCACACTTGGATTCATTTTTCCCTAACTCCATATGTATATTGTTAGCTGAAAGTGACTTCTGCTTAAATACTATTGTACTACCCTTTTAAAGTGTATTTTTATGTTCCTAGTGAGACGGTTTATCGATTTGTGTTTGGGTGTTCGATGTTCTGAAGCCACTGCCAGTCACTTTTGAAATACATTTTGCTTCCTATCATCTCCTGTCATCCCCAAAGAAACGGCAGCCCTGAAAGGAGATCTGGTCCTCTGAGGCCGGCTGTCCTCCCGACTGCAGGCAGATGAGCTGCGAGTGGCCTTTGTAAGGGCCTGTCGAGCCTCAGACAGATGAGTGGGAAGGTGGCATGGGGCTGCCCGTAATGTGACCCTGACGGTAGCCACCCCTGTTTCCTTAAGAAGACTGGTGGGTGGAGACACATCTGAAGAGGGTGGTGGCAACCCCGGGTCTCCTTGCTGCCAGCTCAGCTGTTGGCTGCAAAGTAGATGTGCAGCCTCGCCAACCCACTCACTCTCCACCCTTTTATCTCGTTATTAGGCTGCTCATTGGTGTAAATTGCCATCGATTAGGTATCGGTTATCAGACCCAAGTTAGAAGTGAGAGTTCAGATAAGTGAGGCCGCCGTTGCCACCTTGACCACCTCAGAAGGAGGGGAGAATGGATTTATCAGGAGTGAAAAAGAAGAGCTTGCTAGGAGTCAAAGAAAATAATAAAAGGTCCAGCACTAGGTAACCTCCCCGGCTTTCCCTGTGTGCCCCGGGGGTGCACTGCAGGGGACCTGTGGATGGGACAATGGCATGTGCATGCCCTCCGCCATGGGCCACCCTGCTCTGGGGGTGCACTTGCTGGGGCTCTGAGGATGGGGACAATGGCATGTGGGTGCCCTCTGCCACGGGGGGCACTGCTGGGGATGGGGACGATGGCATGTGTGTGCCTTCTGCCACGGGCCACCCTGCTCTGGGGGTACCCGGGAGCTCTGCAACCCCTCCAGACCCCTCTGTCGGGTTGTGTTGTCACTGGATTTGGTCCAAGGGGTGTGCCTCCTCACAGTCCCCCTTACCACCCAGGGCTCCTTCTCCAACCAAGCGCAAGGACCGCTCTGACGAGAAGTCTAAGGACCGCTCAAAAGACAAGGGGGCCACCAAGGAGTCCAGCGAGAAGGACCGTGGCAGAGACAAGGCTCGAAAGAGGCGCAGCGCATCCAGCGGTAGCAGCAGCACCAGGTAGGACTGGCCTCCGAGGGTGGCCTGCGAGCTGTGGTCTGGCCGAGCTTGTGTCTGGGCGTTTGGTCCTTTGGAAATGTTAAGCAACATATATGTGGGTAGGGAGTGTTTTCTCTGAACATCATGATTGGCTTGCGCTAGCCTAGAGCGTGACTTTGGCCCTCCTGGAATCCTGCCCGAATCCATCTGCTGCTGCAGCCCATCCTGATCTGAGCTGGTGGCCTCCGGTGCCTCTGCTCTGCCACTTCTGGGCAGGAACAAATGGCTCCTCTGTCCTGGAGAGCAGCTGGTCTTTCCATCCTGGGAAATGGGCTTGGAGGAGGAGGGAGGGTCCGTGACGCCCCCCTGCCCCCAGGTCTCGGTCCAGCTCCACCTCCAGCTCGGGCTCCACGTCCAGCAGTGGCTCCAGCAGCGGCTCCAGCTCGTCCTCAGCATCCAGCCGCTCAGGCAGCTCCAGCACGTCGCGCAGCTCCAGTTCCAGCAGCTCCTCCGGCTCCCCAAGCCCTTCCAGGCGTCGACACGACAACAGGCGGCACTCCCGCTCAAAGTAAGTCCCCCGCCCTCACACCCCCGCTGGGAAGAGGGCGTCTGGTCCATTTTCAAAGAACAAAATCAGTGTCTTGGCTTATCTCCCCCTGCCACCACCCTCCCCTACCAGATCCAAACCACCCAAGAGAGATGAGAAGGAACGGAAGAGGCGGAGCCCTTCCCCCAAGCCCACCAAGGTTCACATTGGGAGGCTCACCAGGAACGTGACAAAGGTAAGGCAGCCTGTCCCAGTGGCTGGCTGGGGTCACCCAGCCCAGTGCCCTGGTACAGGGATTTCAAGGTTGGCCCTCCTATCAAGTGGCCAGTGGGTTTGACCCACTGACCCTGAGTTGAGGTTAGCTGTCCAAGGCTTATTCAAGAGCAAACCAAACTCACTGCCATCCAGCTGGTTCCCACTGAGCAATCAGAGTGACTGGTGGGTGTGAACCCCCAGCCTGTGGTTAAGCAGCCTGACAAGCATCCCTCCGTGGATGCTGGCCCCTCCCTTTGTGGCACTGGGCTGCAGTGAGTGAGCTCGTGGCCCCTGTCCCTCCAGGACCACATCATGGAAATCTTCTCCACCTATGGGAAGATTAAGATGATCGACATGCCCGTGGAGAGGATGCATCCCCACCTGTCCAAAGGCTACGCTTATGTGGAGTTTGAGAACCCTGACGAGGCTGAGAAGGCGCTGAAACACATGGACGGAGGTGGGTGCCCGCCAGCCCCTGGGGTGCCCGGTGCTGCAGAGGCCCCTCTGTGTCACTTTGCAGCCTGGCACCACCTCGCCAGAGCACTCCCCTGCCTTCTGAGTCTTACTTGGCGGGTGGGTGTTTACCTAAAACATGTTTTATGGAATGTTATTCGTTGGGGGGGGGGCGGGAGGGACTTGTCACAGATAGGAATATATTAGCATTTTAAGGACTTCAATTTGGGATGCGCTCGACAATGACATGTGACTTGGAACACTCTCTGAGGAATGTGGGGGGGGCCAGTTTGACTCTCCACAGGAACCTCCCTGTCATCTTCTCAGAGGTGCCCTCCAGTTTACAAACAGGCTGGCACTCTGCGGGCTATTTTGCCCAGTGACCAGCATACTTAAGCATCTCCTCCCCTGAGAAATCCCCTTTAGCGACAATCCGCAGCTGCTGCTGTTGGTGGAAGTGGCTCACAGCTTTCGAAAGCACGTGGATGGTTTGGGAGAGGCCCGCTGTCATGTTGACTTGTGTTGGCATCTCAGGGAAGGGGGGTTTATCTCTGAAAAGAAGCCAAAAAATCTGCTGTGGAATTGCCTTTGCACCTTGGTTGTGTGATCATTAAGATGGTTTTTGGTACACACAAGCCAAGTCCTGGGCCCTGGGGCGCTGGCTTCTGTTCTTTGGGAGTCCCCCCACAACGGCCCTGATGGTCAGGTAGTATCTATTTGTGCAGTTGCTAAAGCTTCAGGACATGAGGGACTCCAACAGGGAGACCGAAAGGACAGGTGGGGTTGTGTGTGCTAGATGCATGCGTGCCCTCATGCCCTAGTTCTGCTCTGCCCTGCTGCCAGGTGACAAAGAGATAGGTGGCTTCGTCTGTGTTGTCTTTGGCAGTGAGCCACCAGTCCAGCCTGTGGTGTGGATTCTGATTACAGCACCCTGGGGCAAATGCCTTGGTGGGCTGAGGGCTGGGCCTGGGCCTGGGCTTGGTGGGTGTCGCTGGCTGCCTGCTTCATCCCTGGCAGGTGGGCCTGTCTATTTTACGGCTTGGTCTTTTCTCCTCAGGTCAGATCGATGGCCAGGAGATCACAGCCACTGCTGTGCTGGCGCCATGGCCCAGGCCGCCGCCCCGGCGCTTCAGCCCTCCCAGGAGGATGCTGCCTCCACCCCCCATGTGGCGCAGGTCCCCCCCAAGGATGAGGCGGCGGTAAGTAGAGCTCAGTCTCCAGGGGCCAACAGGCCAGTGGAAGTGTGCTGGGCACTTGGAGGAAACCTCAGAGGTTGGGGGCAATTGTGGGAGAGGAAGCCCTAGGGTGCCCTTTGATAACCTTTCCCTGCTCAGCCCTTTTCCCTTCCCAGCTGGGACAGGGTGGGACCTTACAACTGCCCTTTCCTTGCCCTGGTCTGAAGGGCCCTTCCATCGGTTCTCCCAATGTCAGTGATTAGAGATGCCTTGAATGTACTCTGAAGGAGGTTGGCCTACACTGGGACTATAGTGCTAATGGTCTGCGACTGGCCATCTCATGCTGCAGGTCCCGCTCTCCGAGACGCAGGTCGCCAGTGCGCCGACGCTCCCGGTCCCCAGGCCGCCGCCGCCACCGGAGCCGCTCCAGTTCCAACTCTTCACGATAGAGCTGTGCTGCAGAAGCCCCGGGCCCCTAACTTATGTCCCATCCACGCATGTTCTGTCTCTTTCCTGGCTGGAGGAGGGTGGATAGATGGGGATTCCTGGCCTGGGGGCAGGCTTCTAGGGTGGTGGCTGCAGGCATGCTAGTCTCTGGGGCTGGGGCTGGGCCTGTGAACATGCCTACTGGGGTCCCCAGTTCCTGAGAGAGTTGGTCTGCAGCCAGCAGGGAGGACATGGTCTTCAAAAAAGGTGGACATTTGTGTGGTTCTATGGGGCTAACTCCCGAATCCCCCCCAGACTCCTTGACCACAAAGGCCAACATTGGCATTGGGGTCTCGCCTCAGACTGGTGAGCAAGCTGTGAGCCAGCACCATGGGGTGCTGAAGCCACCCCAGCCTGTTGCCTGTCACCTGGCTTGTTGTACAGTCTGGACTTTAAACATTTCTGTTTGCATTTTTGTAACTTTGTAGCATTTAGGTTGTGTTTGTACCTGTTGTGTAGAATGGAAGGACTGTATTGAATAAACATAGGATTAGAATACAGTTTGCCTCATCCCTCCAGCACCCAGTGTTAACCCAGCATTGGGTCCTTGCCCTAAAGAAAAGGGGTTATGTGTGTGTGTGTATGTGTTTACACATATGTGCAGGTGGGCTACACAGAGTACATGTAATGAAAATTTTCCTGCCACACAGAGTGGAATCCAACTCCACAGCCCTAGAGCAGGGAGTCCTCAAACTGTGGCCCACTGGGTGTTTGCCCCGTTTGTTTATTTCAAAATAAGGTGTGTGTAGTGTGCATAGGAATTTGTTCATAGTTCTTATTTAAACTATAGTCCAGCCCTCTTAACAAGTCTAAGGGGCAGTGAACTGGCCCCCTGTTTAAAAAGTTTGAGCACTCCTGCGCTAGAGGAACAGCCCTGTGATTGTCCCTGCCAATCTTGATGGGCAGACACTTAACCATACAGTGTTGGAGTCTTATGGTTAGCTACCCTGCCAACCTGCTGTGCCACCAGGCCTCCCTGGGAAGAACATTATGTGCATGATCCTGGCATCCACTTGCTGTTCCTTAGCAGTAAGAACAGTGTGTGTCCCTGGAGGCCAGTCAATGTACAGGACTAGATGCGGTGTTGGTGCTTGGTGCCAATATATGCAGGCTCGTGGAAAACGATCCCTCAAGATTACCGGTGCCCTACCAGGAGGGAACTGAAAATGCTGAAGGCAACTGGGAACAAACACTGGGCGTTTGTTCCCTGTGTCCCCTGCCCGTAACAGGTGTCCTCTACTAATCAGGTCCCTGCCACCAGCCCTGGGATGGGGGGCAACTAAGATGAAACCTCTTGCTGTTGGGTCTGCGCCCAGTGAGCAGGCAGCAGTGAGTTGCTGACCCCGACCCCAGTTC